TAGGTGCATTGTCACTCAGCTGGGTTAGAAACGGAACAGCTAGGATTCAAAGCAGTACCCGTAAGTTATGGCAGTGTCACAAGTACGAATTAGATTGCTATGCAACCACTATCAATAGGCATAGTAGTAAATGAGGGGAACCCAATAAATCTCATTTTTTGTTTGTTTGTGTTTGCTTTATCTTTTTCACAATACCAATCTATCTTTTAAAGAGATATGTGTAGGAGTTTCAGTGAGTGTGAAAGCTCACATGGTAAAGAAAGTGCACATGCAAATTACAGAAAAATAACAACAACAACACAATAACAACAAAAACAACAACAACTGGCCCAAGGTCCAATTCAATAGCTCAGTGGCTAAATCCGAGCCTTATAAAGGCTTGGATCCCCTTTGGAGCCAGATAAAATTGCGGATGCTCTACTTTCCATCCATATCCCAGCTTGTGGCCTGCGATATCAGCTGAGGATGGTGCAAAGCCATGAGAGCCTGAACCCACTTGGAGACCTGAAAGAAGCTCCTGGCTTCTGGTTTTGGATCAGCTCAGCTCAGGCCGTTGTGGGCATCAGGGGAGTGAGACAGCTAATGGAAGACACATCCATCTGCTTCTCCTTCTTTCTGTAAATCTACTTTGTCAAGGAAAATATTCATCTTAAAACAGAAATCTCTTAGTGCCTGGAGTGGAAGCTTGGTATGATTAAGTCCTCAGTTTGCACACGACCATCTCCCATAATGATGCAGCTTCTATCCAGGACATCTGCTTTCCATTCAGCTCCCTGTTTGTGCACTGGGAAAGCATTCAGAATGCTCAAAGCCTTGGGATCCTGAAAACACATGGGAAAACTGGAAGAAAAATTTGCTCCTGGCTTCAGATCAGTTCTGCATCATCTGCTGCAGTAGCTTGGGGGGCGGTGGTCCAAATCTCTATCCTTCCATAAATCTTTGTATTTGACTTCCACTGAAAATGAAATAAACGTTAAAACAAATATATATTTTTAAAATATGGCTTATACCAACAAAACAGGATGGAACATCACAATGCACTCTGTTACTGCCCACAACCCATAGAGGAAGGCCTTGTGCATAACTGTCACATTTCACTGAAAGAGCATCTCCTGAGAGTGGGAAGTCCTCAGCGAATCCAGTGAAATGAGAACCACATGGATGAACCCCAGAGTTAGGGTCCACACCCATCGAACACTGACAGACCATGTGAAAACACTGAATTAAAATGCTCAAAAGTGCCAAGGATTTGAGAGCACAGACATTTTTCATTTTATACTGTCCCTATAAGAGTAAGCAACCTGGCAAGGTCAAAGATCTTGTTCTCATATGGGTGTGAAAATCAGTTTATGTTATCCCAGAAAATGAAAATAGTCCACGGTGGATTCCTGAGAGACTTGTCCAGCAAGCTCCTGCTACAGAGTTTTGTGAAACTTGCATACCGGCAATGCTGGTGGCATTTGAGTCAGAAGATCGACTCAAGAAGCAACTATATTATACCCACTTATTTTATTTAAGTATGTTAGTATTTGTTAAGCACCCCTCTCACTTTACGTTCTCATATGAGCACTTAGGACCTGATACTTCCTGCCAATTTCTCCTTAGACCAGATGATCAAACTGTCTAATGAGCATCACTAGCTGTTGGGGGTCTAGCCCTCCCTTTATAAATAGCTCAATCTCTGCCTGTGCTTTTTCTTATCATTCAATTGTAATGCCACTTGAAAAACCCCAACCTTTTTTATCTGACAGCTTTGTGGGACATGGACATGCATTGGCATGTGCATTGTTCCTTCTTCAGGAATGCAATTATTCCTATGGAATGTATAAGTTCCATCCCTCCTCTGGACTTTGGGACTTGCTCACGTGGGTGAACCTCAGGTCCTTGAAATTTAAGCTTGTGTCTGCCTGTGTTATCCCCATGTTTCTCTCTTACATACAGGAAACACCTCTGAAGTGAATGACACCGAGTTCCAGTGCACCCTGACAGCATGTTGGAATGCTGGAGTTATATTGGATAGTAGGCAGTTAGTTTATTCTGTGTCCCCAAGTTATCATTTTTCCTCAAATATAAAACAGCATTTTCCCCATCATGTCTTGCATTCACCAGAGGAGGTCTCTTCCAAGGGACAATGGTGCTATTAGCATATTAATTCCCTAACTGATGCATCAGCCCTTTTCTCCAGCCATTGTGTGGGAGGACATCACCCTAATCTCCTTATCATTGAAGAACTGGATGAAGTGTTACTCATATTCCCAAGGCCAGAAATCTCTAGTGTGTGACACCTGTCTGGTCTTTTGCCCCAAAGCCAGACACAAGCGTGACAAGAAATTTCCTTTTGTCTTTGGAGAGCCTCTTTGAAGCACACCTTTTAGTCTGCTCTCCTTACCATTAATTCAGGTTTGTCTCTCTTGCTTTTACTCCAGCCATGATGGCAGAGGATCTCAGAGCCCCATGTCACTAGGACAGAATCTCCTTTCTCAATTTTTCTAACAAACTTTGCTTTGAAATTTCACTGTGTCCACATGAAAATTCTTCTTTCCTGCGAGACAGAAATTGAGATTGCTGCCTTATTTGGGGTAAAAAACAAACAAACAAACAAACAAAAACTACAACACACAGGCAGGCTGTGCCTCAGCTTAGATCCACAAATTGGTGATAGTTATTCTGTTGTCATTTTGCGGCTGCCCAGAATCTTGCCTGTGACTGAAGGGGCTAATGGAGAATCCGCTGTTGTTCCAAAAAGCTTAAAAGAGACTTTGGCATAATGGTGAACATCATAGCCAGTATGTCACCAACCACAAACCACCAGCTACACTTGCGACAATGAACAAGCTTGCAGAACTGACTGCGTGGGCTATGGAACAACTGAACACTTTTGGGTGGCATGCTTGCTTTGTAACAGTGGGTTGATTTGTTGGCAAAGGATCAGCAGAGGCTGTGTGATATAGGTCTCTTGTCCTACATTATGCATTTATATATGTTTAACTTGTGCAGTGCTTTGTTTCTCAAGCCCGTGAAATCTGTCAGCTAATTGCTACCACATTAAAGACTTGCCTAGCCATGAAACAGGGTCATCAGCCTCCCCAAGTATATTTTCTACAGCTGCAGCAGACAACACATTAAATGGTAGCCAGTTATGGATAAGATGGACCTGGCACACACCAACCTAAGACAGGGTTTCTGTCATGCTATGGAGATTCCTGATATGTATAAGGCAGATAACATGAGAGTTCACAACTGAAGACAGGCATATTCAAGTCTGCATTGAAACAAAACCAAGGGGTACCTGTTGTGTGCTAAGGAGTTGATTAGCACTTGTTAAGTTGAGCACTGCAGGGTGTGGGATTGTGGTTGAAAGCAGCTGGTATAATGGGACTGATTGGCATCATATTGAAAGAGTATATAAGAAGTAATAAACTATGGGGAGATTTCCACCATCATTGGTCTCCTGTCAGTGCTTCATCCCCAGATCCTATCCATGTCCTCATTGCTGCCTCAGCTGGTCGGAGTACACCTCAGGCCACTGGAGGTATAGGATGTACCCTTACCAGGCTTAGTGATAAAAATGTGCAGAACCACCCTCCCTGCCTGGAAGGGATGTATATCCAAGCTTGAGTCCCATGGTAGAGAGCCTGAGTTTGCACTCTGGCAAGCTCGAGTTCTGGGAAGATATGTGAGGGTGGGACAGAGGTGCCCATGCCTACCTCACTGTTATACCTGGATGAATGTCCTAGCAGGCAAGGTAGTGAAGGGAAGAGTTTAGAATAGAAAAATTTAGATTTAGAGTAGAAAAGTTTAATTTGCCTCTTTGCTTCCTACACTTTGCTTGCTAAGAATAGCTGAACAAGATGTCTTTGGTAAATGATTTAAGAGAACAACGTGCAAAGGCACCATATATTCTGGGAGACAATTGGAAGATAAAAATGTTCCCAAGACTTGTATTCCAGGAGACAATTGGTGGAAAGGAAGTTCCCAAAATTAAAGAAGCTCAAAGGTGACAAAAAATAGAAATGAATTCCTAATGTCAATGGCTATTCAGCCCTATATTGTAACTTCCTAGTTTTATGGCTATGCAATGTTTATTCAGCCCTGTGTTGTGACTTCCTAGTTTTATGGCTATGCAATGTTTATTCAGCCCTGCATTGTAAACTCCCACGACTATGTGATGTTTGAGCTCTTTAGAAAGTTCCTAGTTTTGTTCTAAATTTAGTTTTTAACCTATTGTGCCAGCAAAACTTGATCTATAAAAACTGGGTAATGTACAGTGAGCGGCACGGATGTGTCATCCTCCTGCGTGAGGAACTGACCTCCGTCCCAGCGCGCTGGCATCTGAATAAATCCTCCTGCTTTTGCATCAAGCCTGTCTCCGCTGATCATTGGGGTGACACATATTCTCGTGGATCGGTAAGGCTGTCCCCACTCCACTCCGCGCGGCCTTACATTTTGGTGCATTGGCCAGGAAAGGTGTATCGCCCCCTGATCCTCGAATTCAGGCTTGGAGGTACGTAGGCGCCTTGTGTGTTCTGTCTGTTCTGTCTGCGTGGTGTTGAAGTCTTGTTTGTGTCTTGTGTACGCGTCCCAGCTGGGGTGGGTTTGCTCAGGCGGTTCGAGCCCCACCTGCTGCAGCTCCCTTTCTCACCCAAGGCAGGTCGGCTCATGAGGTTCCAGCCCTGCCCGGAGCTGCGGCATTTCGCGACCGTCTTCTGATTCGTGAGAATCGTGGACAGTGGTTGGCAGACGTGCCCGGAGAACCACAGGTCGTGGCCCTGGAGGACGCTCCAGGGTGGAGGGAGAGCCGAGGACGCTCGGCAGGCTCCTGATGCGGAAATCCTTCTTCCATTCTTGAAAGTGATCAGACCGGTTTGATTAGCGCTACTCAAACCCCGGGGGGATTGAGGCCATCTGATACTTTTCTGTTGTTGTGGAAGAAACGGAAGGGACGTGTTTGTCTGTGTATTTTATTGTTTATTTTTCTGTGTATTATTGTGACGATAGCAATGGGACAGACTGTGACGACGCCCCTTAGTTTGACTCTTGACCACTGGACTGAAGTGAAGGAAAGGGCTCATAATCTCTCCCTACAGGTTAAACGAGGACCTTGGCAGACTTTTTGCACGACAGAATGGCCCACTTACAAAGTGGGTTGGCCACGGGATGGTTCTTATGATCTTAGTCTCATTAAAGCAGTAAAAAGAACTGTTTTTCAGGCGGACCCGAGAGGACATCTAGATCAGCAGCCTTACATCTTAGTTTGGGAGGATCTTTCTCAAAATCCTCCCCCTTGGGTCCGCCCCTGGATTCCTCCCAAGCCAGAACGAGTGTTAACTACACGGAGCACAGCGGAAAAACCCAAGAAGATTTACCCGGATTTGCAGACGGATTTACTCCTTTCTGATCTTCCCCCTGCCTACCTCTCTCCCCAGGAATCCCCAACAGCCCCGGAGCTGGCCCCCTCCGGGGGCCCAGCCGCCGGGACCAGAAGTAAGCGGGCGGGGACTCCTGATACTAGTGTAATGTTGCCCCTCCGAGCATTCGGACCCGAGGGGGTAAATGGGCTACAACCTTTGCAGTATTGGCCCTTTTCTTCAGCAGATTTATATAACTGGAAGACCCACCACCCGCCTTTCTCAGAGGACCCTAAGCGATTAACAGATCTTATAGAATCTTTAGTCTTTTCTCACCAGCCTACTTGGGATGATTGTCAGCAATTATTACAGACTCTCTTCACCACCGAGGAGAGAGAGCGTATTCTTTTAGAAGCCAGGAAAAATGTTCCAGGACCCGATGGGCGACCCACTCAGCTGCAGAACATTGTGGACTCCGGTTTCCCCTTGACGCGACCTGACTGGGATTTTAACACCGCTGAAGGTAGGGAGCACCTTCGAATCTATCACCAGGCTCTGGTGGCTGGTCTCAGAGGGGCTGCAAGACGTCCCACGAATTTGGCAAAGGTAAGAGAAGTCCTCCAAGGACCCACTGAATCCCCTTCTGTATTCCTTGAGCGCCTCATGGAAGCCTATCGCAGGTATACTCCCTTTGATCCAGAGGCAGAGGAGCAGAGGGCCTCAGTGACAATGGCTTTTATAGACCAGGCAGCAGCAGATATAAAGAGAAAGCTTCAGAGATTAGATGGGTTAGGAAGATCTTCACTGCAGGATTTAGTAAAGGAAGCTGAGAAAGTGTTTAATAAAAGAGAGACAGAGGAAGAAAAAGAGCAGAGAAAGATTAAAGAGCAAGAGGAGAGAGAAGATCGAAGAGAGAGAGAGAGAGAGAGGAGACGAGGAAAGAGCTTGACAAGGATTCTGGCCACTATAGTCAGAGACGAAGAAAGGAATAATAAGGGGCATAGAAAGACAGACTCTCTGGGCAACCGGCGGTCCAGGGAGCCCTTAGCCAAGGATCAGTGTGCCTTTTGTAGAGAAAAAGGACATTGGGTCAAAAACTGCCCGAAAAAATGGGGGACAACAAAAAAGATACTGACATTAGAAGAGGAAAACTAGGGGAGACGGGGCTCAGAGCCCCTCCCCGAGCCTAGGGTAACCCTAAAAGTGGAGGGGAAACCCATAGATTTCCTAGTGGACACGGGGGCCCAGCATTCTGTATTACTACAACCCACTGGCCCTCTGTCCCAAAAGAAGTCATGGGTAATTGGAGCAACAGGAAACCAACAATATTCCTGGACTACAAAGAGGACAGTAGATTTGGGAACAGGGAAAGTTTCCCATTCTTTTCTTGTTATTCCTGAGTGCCCGGCTCCCCTCCTAGGTAGAGATTTGCTTACAAAAATAGGAGCTCAAATCTCCTTCACAGAAACAGGGCCTCGTGTGACAGATAAAACCGGCCATTTCCTACAAGTATTAACTGTGAAATTAGAAGATGAGCATCGCCTGTTTGAGAAGCCCCTACCCTCCGGTGGACACTCAGACTGGATAAACCGGCATCCGGGGGCATGGGCAGAAACGGCCGAGATGGGACTAGCAAAGCAGAGGCCTCCAGTAGTAGTCGAATTAAAAGCCATGGCAGTACCAATAGCTGTCCGACAATATCCAATGAGTCGGGAAGCCAAAGAAGGTATTAAGCCACATATAAAGAGACTACTTAAATTAGGAATATTAATGAAATGCCAGTCCCCGTGGAACACTCCTTTATTGCCAGTCAAGAAACCAGGCACTAATGATTACCGTCCAGTCCAAGATTTACGAGAGGTAAATAAGAGAGTGCAAGACCTGCATCCCACGGTGCCTAACCCATACAATCTCCTTAGTTCCCTCCCTCCTGAGCGAACGTGGTACACTGTTATAGATTTAAAAGATGCATTCTTCTGCCTCCGTCTCAGCCCCGCAAGCCAACCCATCTTTGCTTTCGAATGGAGAGACTCAGAGTCTGGGTTTTCGGGACAACTAACCTGGACCCGTCTGCCCCAGGGTTTCAAGAATTTGCCCACCATCTTTGACGAAGCTTTACATCAGGACCTAGCCCCCTTCCGCGCTGAAAACCCCCAGGTAACATTACTTCAATATGTTGATGATCTTCTCTTAGCTGCTGCCACACAGAAGGAATGCGAAAATGGAACTTCTGCCTTGCTAGAAGAACTGGCTCGATTAGGATACCGGGCGTCTGCAAAGAAGGCCCAAATCTGCCAAAGACAGGTAACTTACCTGGGGTACACTCTTAGAGAGGGCCAGCGATGGTTAACGGAGGCTCGCAAGCTTACTGTTACTAAAATTCCACCGCCGCAAACGGCCCGTCAAGTCCGTGAGTTCCTGGGGACTGCCGGGTTTTGCAGACTATGGATCCCAGGATATGCAGCCCTGGCAGCACCCCTGTACCCATTGACCAGAGACAACTCCCCCTTTACATGGGGAGCAGACCAACAAAAAGCCTTTGACGGGATCAAGCAGGCCTTACTGACAGCACCTGCCCTGGCCTTGCCAGATGTATCCAAGCCATTTGACCTATACGTACATGAGAAAGGAGGAGTGGCCAAAGGGGTGCTGACACAACGCTTAGGTCCCTGGAGGAGGCCGGTGGCCTATCTGTCAAAGAAGCTGGACCCGGTGGCCACTGGCTGGCCCCCTTGCCTAAGGATTATTGCAGCTGTGGCCCTCCTACTCAAGGATGCAGACAAACTCACTCTCGGACAAACAGTGACTATCCTGGCTCCTCATGCCCTAGAGAGTGTAGTACGCCAGCCACCCGACCGCTGGCTGTCCAATGCTCGATTGACACACTATCAGAGTCTGCCCCTGAATACAGAACGGGTGAAATTTGCCCCAGTAACTCAGTTCAACCCAGCTGCACTTCTGCCGGACATTGACCCTGGAGAGGCGGAGCCCCATAACTGTCGAGAAATTCTGGCTGAAACAGCGGGCATCCGAAAAGATCTGACAGACCAGCCTCTAGCAGACGCAGAAGTCACCTGGTTCACAGATGGCAGCAGTTATATGGCAGAAGGTAAGCGGATGGCGGGGGCTGCGGTGGTGGACGGACAGCAAGTAATATGGGCCAGTAAAATGCCCGAGGGAACTTCGGCTCAGAAGGCAGAACTAATAGCCTTAACTCAGGCTCTGAAACTAGCAGAAGGAATGAAGGCCAATATATATACTGACAGCAGATATGCTTTTGCCACCGCACATGTACATGGAGCTATATACCAACAAAGAGGACTATTAACCTCTGCTGGCAAGGACATTAAGAACAAGCACGAGATTTTAAATCTCTTAGACGCCCTTCATAAACCATCTAAATTGGCTATCATCCATTGCCCTGGACACCAAAAAGGAAATTCCCAAATAGCCAGAGGAAATCGGATGGCAGATATAGAAGCTAAAAAAGTGGCAATGGAGCCAACTACTATACTAGTGCAACAATGTCCCCCAGAAGAATCAAATACAGACAAGGAATTCCATTATTCTAGCAAAGACGTTAAAAACATGACTAAAATAAATGCAGTTTATGATATTGATCACCAACTCTGGAGGACGGAGACAGGCCGCATTGTCCTGCCAGAAGAAAAAGCTAGAGAGATTGTACAACAAATGCATAAATTAACCCATCTGGGAACAAAACGGTTAGCAGCTATACTTGAAAAGACTGATTATTACATCATAGGACAATCGGACTTGATTGAAAGAATCGTCAGAAACTGCATGCCTTGCCAACAAGTTAATACCCGTGGAGGAACTGTAACAACAGGAAAGAGACTAAGAGGAGATAGACCAGGTGTTTACTGGGAAGTTGATTTTACAGAAGTCAAGCCTGCTAAGTACGGGAACAAATATCTCCTAGTCTTCATAGACACTTTTTCAGGATGGACAGAAGCCTTCCCGACCAAGAAAGAGACTGCCACAATAGTAACTAAAAAGATTTTAGAAGAAATCATCCCCCGGTTTGGAGTACCACAGGTAATAGGGTCAGACAACGGATCTGCCTTTGTTGCCCAGGTGAGTAGACAGGTGGCCACTATACTGGGGATTAATTGGAAATTACATTGTGCCTATAGGCCCCAGAGCTCAGGCCAAGTAGAAAGAATGAATAGAACCTTAAAAGAGACCATGACAAAATTAACCTTAGAGACTGGCTATTCAGATTGGACGGTGCTCCTTCCTCTAGCTTTGTTCCGGGTGAGGAACACCCCTTCTATGTTTGGATTTACTCCCTTTGAAATTCTATACGGGTCCCCACCCCCCTTAAGCAAAATGTTCGAGCCCATTTATTGTACTAACATTAGTTTACACTCTAGGCTTAAAGCTCTACAGGCAGTTCAGAACGAGATCTGGTCTCATCTACGTGAAGCCTATAAGCCAGGAGACCTGCGCGTGCCACATCAATTCCAAGTGGGAGACTCAGTCTACGTACGGCGGCATCGCACATCTAACCTCGAGCCTCGCTGGAAGGGCCCCTATCTTGTACTTCTGACAACACCCACGGCTGTCAAGGTAGATGGGATCTCTGCGTGGATACATGCCTCCCATATTAAGCCTGCCCCGACTCCTGCACCGGAATGGACGGCCCAGAAAACTGATAATCCTCTTAAGTTGCGTCTCCGTCGTCAGCCTACTCCTGCCACTACAGACAAAGTGTGAAGCCGATTTCAGCCCGCACCAGCCTCAGCTACTCACTTGGCAGGTAGTCTCCCAAACTAATGATGTAATTTGGTCAACTTCTACAATAGCTCCCCCTGGGACATGGTGGCCTGAGCTGACCCCTGATTTATGTACTTTAGTAGCCGCAGGCCTCCCAGATTGGGAAATACAGCGAGAGGAATTACAACAACTATTATTTTATGTATGCCCTAAAGAGGAACTGATCATAAAAGATGGGTCCTGTGGAAAGATAAATGACTATTATTGTGCTAAAGGGGGCTGTGAGACCACTGGAACCGTTCCATGGATTCCATGGGCCATCAGACGAATGGACCGGATACAAGTTGCCCGCAGCACGATCCCACCAGGTGCCTCGAGATCAAGTCTTTGTCAACTCAGTAATAGTTGGAAGGGCACCTATTGTAGAGATTTCCCTTGTGATCCACTCAATATTACATTTACTTTGAATGGCAAACATGGGGCTTCTAGACTTCCAGAAGAGAGAATGAAGTGGGTGAAGGGTAGAACCTGGGGTTTACGATTTCACATGCCAGGACGAGATAAAGGCTTAATTTTTTCCATACGACTTAAAATTTCACCTCCACCCACTGAATTTATAGGGCCCAACCTCATTACTCATGCGCCTCCTAATATTCACGAACCTACCTCGAAACAGGTTTCCTCCCCAGCCCCTAGAATAGAAACTGTCCCACCAAGGAGCAATCAGCCTTCTACTCAGGCTAATCTATTAAAAATAATGGACAAAGCCTTTGCAGCCTTAAATGTAACTAACCCAGAGGCCACGAAAAGCTGCTGGCTCTGTTATGATATTGCTCCTCCCTATTATGAGGCTGTAGCATGGAATTTGTCTCAACAAGTTTTAATTACAAATCCCGTCACACCTGTGGACACCAGTCCAAAACCGACCGGACTTACTCTGACAATGGTTTCAGGCAAAGGATTATGCCTAGGAAGTGTACCCATCACACATCACCACCTTTGCGCCAACCAAGTGAGAATTCCAAACAAGGGGTATATTACAGCACCTACAGATGGATGGTGGGCCTGTGGTAGTGGACTAACACCTGTTCTTTCCCTCGAAGTGCTAAATTTGACCTCTGATTATTGTGTATTAGCCCGTGTATACCCAAGAATCATTTATCATCCAGATTATGATTTCCTTAACGCCCTGCAAGCAACTAGGATTAAAAGAGAGCCAATATCAATTACTTTAGCAGTTTTATTAGGTCTCGGAGTAGCAACTGGAATTGGGACCGGGGTCGCAGCTATAACCACCCAAGACTCTAAAATGTCAGAACTCCAGAGCTTAGTGGCAGAGGACATATGAGCACTAGAAGACTCGATCTCTAAACTTCAGGAATCCTTAACCTCCTTATCAGAAATAGCTCTCCAAAACAGAAGAGGGCTAGATCTAGTCTTCCTCCAACAAGGAGGCTTATGTGCAGCCTTAAAAGAAGAGTGTTGTTTCTATATAGATCACTCAGGAGTTGTAAAAGACACTATGAAAAAATTAAGAGAAAGATTAGATCAACGAAAATGGGAACACAGAGACAAACAGGGATGGTTTGAATCCTGGTTTAACCAGTCTCCGTGGCTGACCACCCTTATTTCCACCTTAATGGGGCCTCTCCTAATTCTATTACTATTACTAATTATTGGTCCTTGCATTTTTAACCGCTTGATTGCTTTTATTAGAGAAAGAATTAGTGCTGTGCAAGTTTTAGTATTAAGACAACAATATCAATGGGTAAATTCTCAAGATGAAGAAGTTGAAATCCCATGATTGGGATTTAGTTACAAGAAAAAGGGGGGAATGAAGGGAAAAGTTTAGAATAGAAAAATTTAGATTTAGAATAGAAAAGTTTAATTTGCCTCTTTGCTTCCTACACTTTGCTTGCTAAGAATAGCTGAACAAGATGTCTTTGGTAAATGATTTAAGAGAACAACGTGCAAAGGCACCATATATTCTGGGAGACAATTGGAAGATAAAAATGTTCCCAAGACTTGTATTCCAGGAGACAATTGGTGGAAAGGAAGTTCCCAAAATTAAAGAAGCTCAAAGGTGACAAAAAATAGGAATGAATTCCTAATGTCAATGGCTATTCAGCCCTATATTGTAACTTCCTAGTTTTATGGCTATGCAATGTTTATTCAGCCCTGTGTTGTGACTTCCTAGTTTTATGGCTATGCAATGTTTATTCAGCCCTGCATTGTAAACTCCCACGACTATGTGATGTTTGAGCTCTTTAGAAAGTTCCTAGTTTTGTTCTAAATTTAGTTTTTAACCTATTGTGCCAGCAAAACTTGATCTATAAAAACTGGGTAATGTACAGCGAGCGGCACGGATGTGTCATCCTCCTGCGTGAGGAACTGACCTCCGTCCCAGCGCGCTGGCATCTGAATAAATCCTCCTGCTTTTGCATCAAGCCTGTCTCCGCTGATCATTGGGGTGACACATATTCTCGTGGATCGGTAAGGCTGTCCCCACTCCACTCCACGCGGCCTTACAGTAGAAGCCTAGGATTATCACCATGGGAGCTCAGGTACAAGAAGTCTTCTACACAGAGTAGGTGTTCAAGCAACAGTTCTAGTCAAACCAAGGCCTCCAGCTTAGAGCCACCATTGAGAGAGTGGTGTCCCCTGGGACCCTCCAAAGAGCCTGCCTCTGAGCTGACCACCAGCAGTGGCCTCCCTAGTAGCCGCAAGCCAGGAGAGGTTCATACAGCTAGGCTGTTCCTCAGCTCTACACCCACAAATTGGTAATAGTCATAATACTAAAATATGAGTGTGATTCCAGAAATTCATGGAAAATGGAAGCAACAGAGAAGGGATTGAAAACAATTGAACTTCACAAATAGTATCTCAGAAGATGCATTTTTCACCATCTCTTAAAGAATGCCCTCTTGTTTTCCCATTACCTCCCTAAAATCTTTGCTAATTTAAGCTGCTAAGTTGTGGAGCCTGTGGGCTTGGCAATGGTTGGTCTCTGGGACTGCATGACCTCAGGTGATGCAAAGGGAATTGATCGACTAGAATTTTGTAGCTAGGAGTGGACAAAGTCCTGCAGAAATTTATAACACACCGTGTAGAAGCCCTGGAACACCGGGACTGAGAAACAAGCAGCGGTTGACCAAGTGCTGAGAGAGTAGGACTCAGGCCCTCTTGCTGGCTCTGTCAGTAGGCTCTGTCTCCTCAGTCTCATAGCTAATCTTCCCTTTGTTGATTGTGTGCCCCTGCTGCAGAGCCACACTCAGTATCACTTGTCAAGGGATGTTCTCTTCTCTTCTCCTCATTGTGCTGCAAAAAGCTTTCCCTCATTTCTGCCTGAAGCAGACTTTTAGCTGGGGGGAGGGAGAGGAAAAGAAGGCAGGCAAAGCCCACTCTATGGCCATGGAGAATTTCTCAAATCCAAGAATGACAGAGATACATCTGAAGGAGCTACTTAGTATTTCTCAGTGCTTGTGCTATGACAGAGGTCATCACAGAAAGGTGTATGCCAGCACCCCATATCAGAACACTAGGCTATTACAGCCACATTTCCTGCGACCAAGTCACAACTAATGCATCTGGGAAAGTAACAAAAGACAGGCCAAAGGCTGGGTCCCTGCACCCACATGGGAGACCTGGTAGATTTCCTGGCTCTTGGTTTAGTCTGACCCAGTCCTGACTATTGTTGTCACTGGAAATATGAACTGGAGTTGGAAGATCTCTCCATCTTGACCTCCCTCTACCTTATAAATTTATGTTTAACATTTTGTTCAGATTTTCACAGATTTACTTGAGTTCACAGAGTGCTAATGAATTTTTCCAGTTTATAGCAGAATCTCACAAATAGTTTTCAAATTAAGCTTGGGCTTGTGACTGACATTTGATATGTCTTGCAAAAATAAGTTGGTTAAAGCTGAGATGCTCCAGGGCTTTTATTAAAACGATGTTGCAGGTTTCCCTATCTTCCTGTGTAGGACATTGGCACTTGGTGTCAGGTGTCTCCACAGAGGGTGTCCAGCTGGACCTGTAGTGGGCAGAGCAGGAGCTAGGGGGAATCAAGGGAGAGGAAGAGAAAAGAGAGGCCTTCCTCCTTATTGCCCCTCCATGGCCTCGGGGCAGTCAACTCCCTGGGCAATCTGGATGTGAGCCTTGAGGGAGAGAGATGCAGACAGAGTGATCTTGTATGCATTCACTCATTCCCCAAAAGATTGCAATGGCTGGGCCACCTATAGGCGATGATTTTTTCTGATATGCTGCTAGGCCAACTGCAAACACAGCCCTAATGAGGTGAATATCTAAGGTTCTATTCATTTCCAGCAGCCTAACTAGCTTTTCAAAGTTTTATTTTTTATAATTTTTTTATTGGAAAGGCGGATATACAGAGGGGAGAGACAGAGAGGAAGATCTTCCATCTGATGTGTCACTCCCCAAGTGAGCCCAATGGCCAGTGCTATGCCAATCTGAATCAGGAGCCTCTTCAGTGTTCTCCCACGTGGGTGTAGGGCCCAAAGCTTTGGGCCGTCCTTGACTGCTTTCCAGGGCCACAGGCAGGGAGCTGGAAGGGAAATGAGGCTCCCGGGATGGAACCGGCGCCCATATGGAAACCCTGACTTGCAAGGCGAGGACTTAACCACTTGCGCCACCACGCTGGGCCCCCAACTAGCTTTCCAAATTTTGAGTTGAGGCAACAGTGTTGTAGTGTAATGAGAAAAGGCACTATCTGTGATGGCAGCATTCCATAGGATGCCAGTTCAGGAGCCAACTGCTATATCTCTGATCCAGCTTTCTGCTTGTGGCCTGGGAAAGCACTAGATGGTGCTCTGAGCCCCTGGAGAGACTCTGGGGAACATTTGAGATCCAGGAGAAGCTCCTGGGTCCTGGCTATGGATGAGTACAATTCTTATGATCATGGCCAATTGGGAAATGAAGCAGCAGATAGAAGATCTTTCTGACCCTCCTTCTTTCTGTAAATCTGCATTTCAAATGAAAAT